ACGGTCTAAATAATTTCATCCTCGACGATAGCGTCGAAGGTCCCCATTAGAAATATTGCGATAGCTATAATGACTAAAGTGAGCATTATACAGCACTCCAATCTTCATTAACGTGCATAATGCTTGTGATCTGTACTGCAGATCTGTAGTACCGTAATTAAAGATTCTGGTGGGATAATAGGTCTGCCACATGACATGATGTCCTGGTAGGCGTAGTTCATGTGCCGAAGTTCTCGGCGCACTGCCCTGGATGGACGTCTTGTATCCTTTATGTAGCTAACTACGCTATCTTGTCCAAAGCGCTTGTAAATGCCGGAGTCCAGTAAGCTTTTGAACACTCTTATTATTAATGTTTGTTATTGCTCGTGAGAGGCCGCATTTTAATATACCCACAGAGTCTAAACACATCCAAAGCACAGGATTCACCCGATGCGATTCCACTGGACAGTAATGCCACCACAAATTCTCCAAAAGCACGCTGTAGACGTCGTAAAAGTACCCCGAATGATTGAGGGGGTCCTTTGTTTTTGGATGAAAACGCTTATCGGCTTTTGTCTTTGTGATTCGCGTCGTTCCTCAGCCATCAGGTCAGTACATTCTCCCAGCAGCAATTTCCATCGGAATGAAGCAAATCATTTTTCAAAGATGTATAGCTCTTGAGAACCCATTCGTAAGTAGAAGAACCACACTTGACACTCCGTCATTAAATGTAGTTGGGCCCAGATTTGTTTGGGGGTTAGTTAAATACCGCAGAGAGCTAATTGTACCGGTCCGCACAACTTAATAAATTGTGGGGTGTGTGAAGATCCGATTGTTTTTAATATAAGTCTGGTACTTGATGTGCAGCAGTACGTATCAGTTAGCAATGGTTAGTGGAGCATCTTCTGGTAAGCTGTGGGCTAAGGAATGTGCCTCGATGTCAAGGTTTCCTTAATCCTTCTAAAGGGTAGCTTCATCAAGCCGATACTCCTCCGGGATGAACATTAAATCAAAGACTGTTTAATAAAATCCTTTGAGCAGCTGCGTGATTTTGATCGCTCCGTACGAACAATTCGTCGCCTTTTTTGGAAATCTCAAATTTTTCGCTATTTGAAAGCTTCATTTTGGAAATTTGCCGAAAGGTCTAAGGGTTATGTGAAGCAACCTTACACAAAAAGCAAGTTTTTCCACCGTACACAACGGAACGCTACCCAAAATATTTACTTAAGCCTAATGCTCGTAGTAATTAATTTGTGTGATGCGTACCTGCCCCCACAGTAAAGGGTACGTGACAAATTAAATATCTCAAACCAAATCGTTTGAGGTCAATTCATTTACGAGAGCACGTTCAAATAAGGTTTTATTTCTCGCTCGTATAAAAAATTTCACGTTACATCATATATCCGTGGACTGTCCGAAAAATAAAACGTGGGACGATATCGTCCGAAAACGGTATATCTCGTATGTACTCATAGTTAATGTATCAGATAACAAACAGGAAAACAAGTTACAGATCCGCCAGCAAATTGTATGCAAGATGAGCTAAGGCTGATAGAGGTGATGTCTATCCATTAGGTTTCTTGGGTTTTATTTACGTCGATCGAAATTGTGCACTAATTTTATAGTGCAAAGTTAAGGTGCTAGAATGGCACAAAAAGCCCTCCTATAAAGACGCATAAGGATTGCTAGATTTTCATTTCCACTATCATCGATAGCGCTCTTTAATCTCAGCGTACCCAAATCAACGTACGCTCAAGCCGATGGCCTTTTATAACTCGATATCCCTTCGAAAAGTAAATGATATTGCGTGAAAACAGCTGATCATTACGATTCCCTACAAATAATTGCTGCTGAATCTTATTCGCATACCGTTAACAGAGTTGTGTTGATCGATTGAGACCCTTGTTTATCATTGCGATGCTTTGGACTACAAATGCCTGATGTATCAATATTTAAATGCTTTTGAGATGATAAGGATATTTTACGAGACGTGTATAACGATGCTCATGAGTTTTAAGCACTCGGGAAAGAAGTGAAATCAGCATTTTACGATCCAACTCTACAAAAAGGGCTCGGTCACCTCCCCCGTTTGAATGTCTTAGCTCACTGAGGACGGTGATATACTGCCACTGCTTTTTCTCAACGATTTGTGTCTGTAAGTACAAAAAGTTCAGATTCAATTTATTGCAATCCTTTCTTGGAGCTGACAGTTTCTGGCGTTATCGCGTCCCAAAAGAAACATCGAGTGGCCTAATTGTTCACTTTCTAGAAACCCAGTACGTTAGCCACGAAGAAAAAGAGTTGGACGATAAAGGCGTAAAATAAAGTTGCCTGCGACCATAATGCCACAGCTTAGCCCCGTTCAGCAAGCAAAAATCATAATATAACATTTTATCTGCACGACAATTTAGCGCATAGATGTTTACAAACAAATCATCCCAACCTTGATGAAGGTAATTTTTCATGTCCAAAAACTAAATGCTTCAGTGTGCGTCAGCCGCTCGACAAAGGTCAATTAAGATATCACCATGTTATCCTATCACCGCTATTCTGGTGAAATGGAAGGGAGATCTGCTCACAGCATTTTTTCACACCATGGGTACATGTGAGAACGGCCAAGAAGGCCTGGGGGCTGACCGCCCTAAGCCTTTTATGGTATAATGAAAAGTTGGCAAGTCATGACCACCATTCACGGTCACTGGATGTGATCATCGGCCGCGATCATCGTGGAAGACTATCGGTCATGGTCGCTGACTATAACCAGGGGTCATGATTACTGTTTATACCTGTGGTTAGATCACAGATAATGACTATCAGTTAATTTTACCGACTATGGCCATTTGGCCATACTGTTGGTTGAGGTGAGACACTTGAAGGCCAATGAATGGGGGAGAGGGGGCAACGACGATGCAGAACTGAGACTTAGATAGGCAAAAGTGTATACATAGCTCCTGATAGGTTATTGACGAACAAAATTGATTTCTTACAATAAATACGCGTCGGCATCCCTCCGGGCTGGATTACTTGTATCCACCCGACATTCGTGGATCACCGCTTCTCGTTTTTGCTTATGGTGTATCCTTCATTTGCTTGACTAAGAACGAGGACAGTTTTTCAATATATCCCGCGATCGGACGCCGCAAGCATGTAAAGTCACAATCTTTTGACAGCCTAAGCTATCAGACGAACACGGATATTAATTGTTCTGAAAAACAATAGAATCAGGTAACCACATTTGGGCAAGGCGAACTCGAGGAAGGTCTAAGGCGAATCGGATAGAGTTCTACAAGTTACCGCTGGTCGTGTAAGAATTTTCCACGCGACAACACCCAACTTATCCGTAGCTTGGTCAAGAAAGACGTCTACCTCAAGTCATCTAAAGTAGTACAACCGTCTCGCCAACAATTACACAATGTAAGAATGAACAATCAAGAAATCCGGTCTGAAGTACCTTATCATTAGTCAGTATTCCGGGCACCAGTAGATAGTTTTAATTGCTTCGTAAAAAATGAGTGAATCCTTCTCCACCTCGATACTCCATTAAAGTGTGGTGGAGGAATGATTAATGGAATCGATTCGATCATATACTTAAATTTTTAATGCAATTTATTCGTACTTCACAAGCCTGCAAAAAGATTAATTTGCCGAAGCACTTTAAAAACCTCCATATCTTGGTGGAGTGGGTTATCAAAAATGTAGGGCGAGTCCTTAAACTACTCACTGTGCCGGATTGCCGACTATCGGAGGGCGGTATCCCGATGCCGCTTGTGAACCTTGATACACCTTTTGTACCCGTCGGCTGGCGGGTTTCGCTCTTTGGAGGACTTGGTGATGATTGCAGACGTCGGCGTTAATGGAGGCAGACCTGGGAAAGCCCTGAGCGGATATGCTTCAGTCGCGGTCCCACGTAGGCGGACACTCGATCGACTTGGTCGATAGTGGTCTTGTAACCAGTTGTCCCAGATACTGGTGTCTTCTGGCCTTTACTTGTCTCAGGTTTTTTTACTGCCTGTCCTCTATGTTTCTTCTCCCCCTAACCACTACGGTATGGAGACCGCTTCATATTGCGGGCTTGAGTGGTGGGGGGGTGTTACTTTAAAAGCCACTTTACTTCCTGGGAGTCTAATTTTGCCTGGGTCTTACTGACAACTGTCTTTTGACGGGTGGGTCAAACAGATCCCTGGTCCGAAACAGGTCGGTAGAATTACAAGTTGCTTAGCGCACGACACGGCGTGATACTTAGATCGCAAATTGAGTTTTATTTGATACTGTCCTATCCTTCAAATTCATCTACTCTATCTTTTCCTTGCTCCTAGTTTCTCTTTGATGAGTGGCCAGGAGCCACCATGACTTGAGAGGCCAAGTCGACCTATGCGTGACCAGGTTGTCGCTGGGTGTCCAGGTTGGCCGATGGGTTTCCAGGTCGTCCAACGGGGGACTGAGGCCCACCTTAGGCGATCAGGCCGACCGACAAGTGGCTGAAAAAGGTCCATATCGGTATCGGTGATTTTTCATCGTCGGCCGGTTCGACCCCGTTGGCTGTAACCTGGTCCGCTCGTCACGGGTGGACTCAACGGCCACTCCTTACCTGTGCCGCCCAAGTGTTCGGCCCCTTTTTCGGCCGCGAGATCTGGTTGATGTTGGTTTCTCTTGCACTTGTGCAAAGGATGTAGGAATTAAAAGTGAAATATATTGGGTGCTTAACTATTCTCCCTAGTCAACCCTATTTGTATGCATTTGCACCAGCACTGCAACTTGACCTGGTCAAGTTGTACTTTGGCATACGTCCAGCGTGCCCATCCCATGTGCTGGTCCTGGTCCCATATGACGTCTGTATGTCTCTGTCTCTCCTACCATCTGTCTTTGATAGTCCGACATGACGATCGTCTTCTCGCGTCCTATATGTCAACCTGTCACGTCCCACTGTCAACTTGTCAACCAATCAGGTGAGGCCGACCTAAACCTGTAACAGGTCTTGCAGTTGCCTCTACACCGACGTAACCTGTTAGAAAATATATCTTCTAACACTCCTCCTCGACTTCAGCCTGAATCGTCCTCAAGTTGAACATCTTGCGTAGCTCCTCCATTCTCGGCGCTGGCAAGGACTTCGTCAGAATGTCCGCCATCATGCTCTCAGTCTTGACGTATTTGGGCATCACAATTCCTTCACGCGCGTAGTGGCAGATAAATTTAAACCTGATGTCCACGTGCTTCGCGCTAGTTGTGCTCTTCTATCCCTCGAGTTGCTTGATCGCCGCTTGATTATCCATCCACATATGCATCGGCATGCATACCTGCAGCTTTAGCTCCAGCAGTAGTTCCCTCACACCCAGCAGTTCGCGTCCTGCCCGGGATGAGGATATGAACTTCGCCTCCATAGTGCTCAGCGACACACCTGAATGCTTCTTGCACGACCATAAAACAACAGAACCGTCCAATGCTAGTACGTATCCAGACACTGACTTACGTTCCGCCTTTTCCGCGGAGAAGTCTGCATCGCTCCAGCATTCAATCTTGACATTTTGTTGAGTCGGTCCGTTGCCGTTCAGGTGCAACCTCAAGTTCTTTGTCGCCTTCAAGTATCTTGCAATGCGTTTCGCAATCTTTCAGTCCTTGGTGGTTGGCTTGTGTGTTTGACGAGTTGCCTTATGCACTGCAAAACATATGTCGACCCGCGTGCATCTTGCGATCCATAGCAGACTCCCGACCAAGAATTATAAGGCAAATAAACTTGGCTCACCGCGTGCACCTCTCGCGGGTAGATAGTCCACATCATCCTTGTTATCATCATTGCATTTATCTCCGATTGGCGTTCGCACACCGTTCGCTGACTCCAACTTGAAATCCCTGAGCAACACGTCGATCATGACCTCTTGGTCCAGAATGTATCCTTGAGTGTCATCCAAAGAGATCCTGAGTCCCAAAAATTTCTGAACGACGCCGAGATCCTTGATCGACAGTGCTCCATGCACGCAAAGAACTCATCAACCGCGCACTGCTTGGTTCCCGTGACCAGAAGATCTTCCACGTATACTCCGACAATTGTCCATTCTTGACCTTGGCGCTTGTAGTATAGACAGATTTCCGTCGTGCACTGCTTGTAGCCATTCTCGGTCAGCTTGGAGTGTAAGAGCTTGCTCCAGAGTCTACCCGCTTGCATTAGTCCGTACAACGATTTCTTTAACAGCAGCGCGACCTTACCAGGAGATTCCACACCAGAACCTTGAAGTTCCTCCTTAGTAATTTGCATGCCTTTTGGAACCTTCATGAAAATATCCAGATGCTCCTCCTTTTATGCCCTAACGTAGGCGTTCGGAAAATCCCCATGACGTGCGGGAACGTTCCATCGCTTGGAGAGCACTAGGATTAGCTTGACGGTCACTAAGTTTATTGACGGCCGCAAACGTGAGGTTGTAGTCGATGCCGAAGACTATTTCGTTTCCGCAAACCACTAGTCGAGCCTTGTATCGCTCGATATCTCCGTTCGCGTCGGTCTTTGTTTTGTAGACCCACTTGTTGTGCAACACGTGTGCATTTCATGGTGGCACTACGATCTTCCAGACGTCGTTCGCCTCGAGTGCGTCCAATTCTCCGGTCATGGCTACTTGCCATTGATCGCGTTGTCCACTCTCCATTGCCTCACCATAGTGCTTCGAATCTTGCTCGACGATCGCGTTCACGATGTCGCAACCGTCCACGGAGGTGTCCACTTCAATCACCTTTGGTTAAATTGATGTTGTCGATCTTGTCACATGTCGCTCTCTGGTCCATGTCGACTTTCGACCTTTTCTGACCTGCTTCGCACGTTTCACACTATCTTGTCGATCTTTTCATCACCCGTTGATGATCAGGGCCTGGCTCCTCCTGACGTCGTGCCGTGTCTAGACAGGTCTTTTTCTCATCCTGGTCATCCTGTGGTGCTTCAATGTTTTGAACACGTTGAGTCACCACGACCACCTTATCCACTGGGATGTACACCTTGTATCCCTTCGTTTCGCTGCCTCGCCCAATGACAATGCCCGTCTTGCCTCGTTCACCGAGTGACTTGTTCTTCGGGTCTCTGTGCGCAGTGCATGTTGAACCAAATGCCACAATGTCTGTCAGCACGGGAGCCTTGCCTGTCAGGATCTCCAAGGGCGATGCACATCCGGGGTTGGACTTGGTTTTGCTTCGATTCAGTTTGTACGAGGCGTACTCTGCAGCATAATCTCAAAATGAGAGCGGCAGGTTTGATGCAAAGATCGTACTCCGCACCATGTTCATGACGGTGCGGTGCATCCGTTCAGCCTTGCCGTTGCTTGCTTGGTTTTTCGCCTCGCTTACTTGACGCGAGACGCCTTCCGAAGAGCAGAAAATATCGAGTGTCTTGTATTCGCCACCTCCATCGGTGCGTAAGACATGAACCTTGCAATTGATCTCGCGCTCGAAGTTTGCCATGAAGAGCTTGAACTTTGACGCGGCTGCATCTTTCCACTTGGCCAAAAATATTCGACAGTAACTCGAATGGTGGTCGATGAAGTTGACCATGTAACGATTTCCCAAACGATCTCGAGGGGTCATGTGACCGTTAAGGTCCGAACAAATGACTCCCCCGATCGCGTCGATTGGCGAATTCGCGCCTGTATCTCTCTTCGACTGGGCTCCCTTGGTCTGTTTTCCCTGGGCACAGGCCAGACACTTTTGACGTGTCGAATCAGTCAGTCGGATGCATGATGCCGGATCGTTCGCCATCTTGACGATCGTGTCGAAACAAAGGTGTCCTAAACGTCGATGAAAGTCCATCAAGGTACCGCATAAAACATCCGAATCGGATTCATTTTTAGGTGGGTTAGCTACAGTCATCAGTGCCTCTTGTGGTGGCTTGGAATTACGATCACTGCGATTTGTCACCGCGACAACCAGCACGTTGTTGCAGCATTCCACATCCATGATGGGTGTACCGCACGTACCGGAAGACAACACGCGCCTCCATCCTCGATATTCAAGTACGCAACCTTTTGCCCCGAGCAATCCGTAGGAAAGGATGTTACGCTCGAGGTTCACCGCATACTGAACATTGAGGAGCCTCACTGTGTTCACGACTCCAAGTGCAACGACTTGGATGTCTACAGTTCCTTGTAGGGTGATCCGCAGCGCACTTCCATCAGTGGCTGCAGTCATGCACTCGCTGCGACAATCAATCGGATCAGTCGGCAGACTCGGGTCATTGACCAAATGTCTACCCGAACCGCTGTCGAGAATCCATTGTCCGGGCGAGCGACTCGCACCGCGACCAACCGTGAAAACGAAATTCGCACCCGAGGGCTTCTTCTTCATTTTTGGGCACCTCGAACGAATGTGACCCACTTCTCCACATTTGAAACAAGTCCGGGTGTCGGTGCGTGGTAGCGACGGTCTTGATTTGTGTTTGTCCTTGAACTCCTGCGCAACCTCGACAGTGTTCACCACATCGCGTCCAAAACTCTTCGAGTGAGTGTGTACCTCCGTCGATTGGGCAAATTGCGCCAACTCTTCTGCTTGCCGCAGGTATTCGGTGCGATGAATGTCCAATCTGGACAACATCGTCGTTCGCATGTGTGGGTCAGCATAATGGACGATGTTGTCCAGCACAAGGTTGTCTGCACCTCCACAGGCGTCACTGACGGCCGTCAAGTACAGAAAATGGTCTGTCCAGCTTTGATGGGATGCCTTGGGTGCTGTGAACAACTTCATGCTTTGTGCTGGCGAGATCTTCGTCGTGAAGGTCTGCAGTAGTCTCTGCATCGCATGTTCCAGGGTTTGGTTTTCAAACCACCACGTTTCCACTTGACGACGATAGTAGGTCTGTGCCTTGTTGGCTAGGTGCTGACCTAGAACATCAACCTTGATGTCCTCTGGCCACACGAAACCACACGCTCGCTCAGCAAACCCGACTTGTCTGACAAATTCTTTGCCCCACTCCATAAATCCACAGCCAAGGCCGTGGTAGAGCTCCTTTCCGTCGAAAGCATGCAATGTTAGCTTCCGCTGATGCGCGTCCGGCATGCCGACTCCCGGCTGCCCAGGGTAAAGACCCCCCCGTTAGGCATACCCATGCCGGGGTAGCGTCCTTCAGGTAAACCTGCCCGGTATATCCCATGGACGGGTGCCTGACCTATGTTGACTCCTTTATCTGTTTTCTCGCGTAAGGACCTTCAACACCTGCCTGTTGTTGTCGCCGAATACCGAAATAGGTTGCTGGTGACACGTTTGGGGATTCCTTAGGGGGGGTAAGGTCCAAAGTCTGGAGATTAATCCCTGCCCCGACCTCCTGTTGCCGACTGGCCATACTCGACTCGGGTGAGCCCTGCCAGTTCTTGACGCCTTGCTCTCTCTAAGAGACCTCCATCCGGTTCATCCTTTCGGACAGGTCTCCTAGCATGGCTAGCATCTTCTCGATCGCCTCCGAAGGCGCTGCCGACTTTTCTTCCAGGTGATGGTCGTCGACCACCACGGTATGTGCAGCTGGTTCAGCCGCACCACCAACACGTTTGCTTGGGCTCATAACCTGATAGATGTTGGTAACTCTTGCACTTGTGCAAAGGATGTAGGAAGTAAAAGTGAAATATATTGGGTGCTTAACTATTCTCCCTAGTCAACCCTATTTGTATGTATTTGCACCAGCACTGCAACTTGACCTGGTCAAGTTGTACTTTGGCATACGTCCAGCGTGCCCATCCCATGTGCTGGTCCTGGTCCCATATGACGTCTGTATGTCTCTCCTACCATCTGTCTTTGATAGTCCGACATGACGATCGTCTTCTCGCGTCCCATATGTCAACCTGTCACGTCCCACCGTCAACTTGTCAACCAATCAGGTGAGGTCGACCTAAACCTGTAACAGTCTTGCAGTTGCCTCTACACCGACGTAACCTGTTAGAAACTATATCTTCTGACAAGATCACATGTCCGTCCGGCTCATCGACCCTCTAGTTCATTATTCCCGAAAACGCGCTTCAACGCAAAGTTCTTATCCGCGTCACACGTTATATCGCCAGTGGCCGTACGACGACTAGAGGGACAAAGTTGAGACTTATGTGATACTAAAATTGTTTTTTGTTAATTTTCCTTTTGTAAGATAAGCTTGCTGCAGCTCATTCAAATGGTCACGCTTATAACTACATTATCGCGCAATAACTCGTCGTTAACAGCCTCTTCTCGTACCAAGCGCAATAACATCGTTTGATAAAGTTTATATGTTTATTTTGACAATGTACAGCATTGATCGATGTGATGCTCCCCTTTAATCAGCAAAGATTACATAACACCAATTGGTATAAAGATAACGATTTTTACGATGCCTCAGCAGTTTTTCATCCTGGTTGCGAATTGACCACGACGGCTATGTCTCATGAACATATTAGCCCTACCTATAAAAGTGTTCCCTTAACTTAATTTTCAAGATGATATCTGACAATAAGTAATTGGTCGAAGAGAAAAAGTCTCAAAATTGTTCACATTAGGATTCTGCAAACCGTCCTCATCCCCGAGTCTTGTACTTAATTTCACAGTCTTAAAGAGCTAATGACTCTTGTTTTGAAAGCCAACTTAACGTCGAATGCATTCTCGTTTGGTTGTCATTAAGCGGTCACGCTTTGAGCTGTACTAGCAATTATATCGTAATTACCATAGCGCGCAATTAATTGTACTTATACATGCTTTGTTGCCCCAGAGAAAAAATTAAGGCGTTAATAATGTCTTCAATGGCGGAAAAGTATAATTTCCTATGTAGACAGATTTTTGTCAACGAAGAAAGACTTGACACGCCTCGAATTTATAAATTTAAATTCATTACGCATGATTGCCTAGTTCGTGCACACAGGCCCCACATGTAATTCTTGATCACCATCATTAGTTTATTGCCGCTTCAAAATGGCACCAGTAAATCTTTCTGCCGGCGTTGTAATTTCAGGATTATTATTTGGTCTTCCATGACTTCAAATAGGATTCTCATCGTTTTACAATACGTTGCCTATTCTTAGCCTCCCTTTGCCGTAATATCAGTTATATTGATCACACGTAAATCTTATTAATGCGATTATGTAAAGACTGCCGATCTGCAATCACGCACTAACTGCGACGGTAATCGCACCTTTGCTTGCATGTAGGAGTCCAGAACTCTGAGCCGCTCAGAGCAACCACGTTACTGACAGCGAGCAGCAGAGTTACCAGTCCAGTTGCACTTCGTCTTGTCAAAGTGAGCCTTTTTTTGGAGACAGCAAGTAACCTCAGAATTTGGATGCGATTTGCGCTTGAGCATTATAATGAGCCAGCTTTCGCTTTGACTAGAGGCAACTTGCAGCACGTTACAAACTGCAGATGATGTTGACAATTATATTTACCAGTTTACCTTGATCAAGTGAGCTTCGCTCATCATGCAACAAATTATCTTGACTAATTCGCTATTCACGCAATCTGCCATGACGCACTGATGTGGGCTGTACAGAAAATTGGACTTTTTTGATTAAATTAAGCTTGAAGAGCTATTCAAAAATGCGTTTAAGTAATCAATACTAATCTCAGTGAGATGAGTCTTAAAGTTCACGCCTCTAATAACCTTAAATTATGACTGCAATTCACAATTACTTTAATAAAAATTTTATAGCGTGCAAAATGCTCATTAGGGTTCATCTTGATAAATGTCACGCCTTCAAAGTAGCTTGACTTGGATGCCAGTGTCACAGGTCACGAAACGCCCAAGCATGCAAAAGCGTAGTCTCGAAACTCTCCCTCGCCGATTACTTTACCTCAATTTATCAGAATATTCTCTGGACTTGTTACGACGTCACGAACATGTTATACAAAGAAGTTGAGTTCACAATTTTCCTTTTGTAAAAAAATAATCTTGTCAGCGTGTTTTCGGTTAGAGACCAGACATTCCTTATTACGCAATACCACAACCTTTACCTCAAAACCTTTTTTTTGACCAAATGGAACTCGTAATTTGCGTCAACAATTAGCTTTTGCGGAAGACCAATTCGTGATCCCTACGCGACATTTCGTCCGTTAATCTTTACACCATATCACATCCTTAGCGATTACCCTTATTTTTATGCAACGTGCTGTGGATGTCGTCAGCGAAAACAGAATAATATGAAGCCCTGCACGAGAAGCTCTTTCTCCAGCCACGTTCATACACATTGTGCAATCTAAAATCTGTTAGGTTACCTTTCTGCTTTTAAATATTCATAAGATTGCAGTGTTTATCGCAATCATTATTCCGCTTTGTCGTCGTCTGCTTCAGATCAAATAGACATTTTACAAATTTTGCAAAACAAATGCGCCATCGCCACAATCCACAATTTGTCAGAAGCCCACGCTTCTTTTCGTGACGCCGAATGCCTATTGAAGTGGTCATCATTAAACTCGCCACTCCTATTTTATTACACAAAATAGTGGCCGCATTGTGTACGCGCTTCCCAAATCGGAAGCACTGCGTATGCATATCAAATCTTCAATTCGACTATGCACGATCCATCGACCTCTCGTAACCGCCATCTTTGCTCACATCGTGTCCTTGTCCGAATAAAGAGTTGTTACATTCTTAATATCAAGGCAATTAACTTTGAAACAATGCTTTACCCAATGAGCTTTCTTATGAGGTTTAAAAAAGAAATTGCGTTCCAATCATTCGAATCTCTTAAATGGACCTTTCATGGTTTGGCGTGAGTGTTAGTATCATAATTAAGCACACACCTTTCTGGTTCAATGCAAACTTGATCCATTCATGTGCGCTCATACCCGTAGTCTCATATTTAAACAACCTCACCATCTCATTGTGCCAAAGTTAGCTTGCCAAAATTATGCGAATCGAAAAGTCTCTCCATTTAGCCCATGCGCCTTTAAATGACGCATCTGTCACGTGCATGACATACATGCCCACTTATATACTTAATTTTTGTGTGATCCTGCTGCTCCTTTGTGGCTTAGATGGTCACTCCACCAATTAAAGCCTCCCTTTCTCGAAATAATTCATAAATTCATCCAGCATAATTTAAAGTCTATAATTGGTCTAGTCTAACGGTTCTAAATTGAACTTGGAGTCTTCACTCGAGTTAACATCATTTCCAGTGAAGGCTGGGATGTCACTTAAATCCGAAGCGGTTAATTACAAAGGGATTCGTACTGTATTTAGCTAATTTTGCAACTCCATGAAAAATAGCTATCAGAAGGCGATGACTCCTAGCCGCTGAAGTCAGTTTAGTCCTACTCGAATTTTCTATGATAAGACTTTTGCTACTCGTAATATAGATGCATCAAACATTTTTCTATACCCTAAACAGGTCTACAGGTAAATACATGATGTGGGGTGTTCATTCAAGAGGTTAAGGATATGGTGGGCCTAAATACCCAAGTCTTAATCGTCACCCGCAATAAAATTGACAAGGGAGGACTCAAGACTCAATTAAACTACTGCTATCCTTTTTTCTATACAGCTGAGCTAATTTTTTCCTTGGTTCAGTTGCGCAACTCATCTCTTTATAGTTGCAACATGAAAAAAAATATTGTTTCATGTAGATTGTGCACATTAGCTGGATCATCCTTTTTTAAACATTAGCGGGAAACAACTATCAATGTGGGAGCGAAATATTTTATAGGCTGTACAATTAGGAACGTAATAATTGTTTGCTCCTGAAAGTACCATTGCTTCCAAATAGCATCAGAAGTCTCTACATTTTTATAATCGATAAGAGTATAATTTTATCATTACCAACAGCATTCTCATTATAGTGTAATTTCTCCGAACCCGCTTTTACATCCAGCAAAAAATAGCAACAACAACAATGTGAACAGCAGCACCATTATTGCGAGTAACCGCAGCAGAAACAGCACAAAACTGTTACAACAAATATCTATAATAAGAGGGCTAGTACTAAAGGTACACCTGCAGCATCAAAACTACCAGCAGCAGCGCTAACATCATGACCACCTAACTAACACTGGGAGCTTGAGCCTTGACAGTACAGCAGCCTTACTTTAACAATCACTAGAAACGCGAAGTTTAC